TCATGAAAATAAAATGGATAGTTTTGAGCTTTGGGACTAGACCCTCGAAGCGAATTCAAGGCGGTATTATAAAAGTCCCACAGCTCGGGAACATTGACGGGTTCATTTAGCATTTGAATCCCAACCACGTTGGGAACGTCAATGAGGGTATCAGTTAGAAACTGAAGCACCGAAATTGTCTTGCGAATATTGTCGGGTGAATAAAACAAATTAACTTGACCATCCGACACGCCAGAATGATCCCGACCTAGGAAGAATATGAGATACAATATAAAAGAATGAAGAAAGGACATACCATTCTGAGAGCCAGGAGCACCGTGGAGGTCAACTAATACACCAAGGCCATACTTGGCGGCCAACGAAATCGACCTCAACACCCTCGGCCAAGCGCCATCATACTGATCTTTCACAGCAGCATACATGGTATCTTGCATCCAGTCCCGTTCTCCAGTTCCAATATGCCAATAGCCCAACGGCAACCGGACAGTATTGATGCCCACACTCGCAAGCCATTCAAAATCCGATTCGGTAATAAACGTATCCCAATGATTCTCTAACACAGCTTTAGCCTGCCCATTCCACCCAGTAGCCACATCAAATTCCACCGCGGCCGGGGACGAAGCACACCCAAACAGGGACGGCACCATCCATGATTCGAGCAAGAACCACGAACCAAGATTAACCCCCTGTTGTTGACGATACCGGTAAATTGTCGCAAGCGATGGATTAGGGGAAGGCAGCGGTGACAGGGGTACGTCGCCAGGCGCGTTTTCCAGCACATTGGCCGGTGGCGCGCACGTATCATCGGCGCCTAGAGCGTGTATTCGTTCCGAACTGGTAGGATCTTCTGTTGCTGTCGAGGTGGACTGTACTTCTTGCGGCGCAACAGACTCGGATGTGGGCGTCTCGGAAGGGGCAGAAGTAGTAGTCGCGCTGGGGTTCCCCAAATCGACGGGATTGTTGCTAAAGGGGGTGTCGTACTGCGCGTAGCGTCGACTTAGACGTCCAAGATGATAGTCTCGTGGAGGAGGAAAGGCGAGGTTGTTGCCCATTCGCGCAAATGGCATCGGAACCTTTTCTGCGGCCTTGTCGTGGACGTTCGAGTGGGGTGCTGCCGCTGCAATAGCTTGCGCAGCATTATGAGGATGAGAAACAGGCTCCTGACGCGCTATATTCGTGTCAGTTCTTTCTGACCGGGCAGAAAGACCAATGGTCTGCAAGATCGTGACGAGCAGCGATGGATCAACCAATACCATGATTCACGAAACAACGAAATCAAAGCAGAGCAAATTGGTTATAGAAGAGGAAATGAGGAAGATGTGGAATGAGACCTGCTCTGAGGACGCTGAAGGTCGTGGTGGTGGAGGAAGAGTCCAATGCGGTTGATTGGTCGAGTGGCGAACACAATCATGGTAGGGCACAATGGGCCTTCGAGCAGACGGCAGACAATCAACAACTCGACAACACAGTATATTCAGTAGGCCATTGAGACTCGATTGAGCTTTTGACGCGTCCTTGAATGGGAGTGTCGTCCAAGTTTGGCAGTCGTCGTCTGAAACTTCCAGAATGAGACAGCCTGTTGACTGTACGCGACAAAAAGTCGGAATATGCCAGCACCCGAGTGATATAAGAGCTGGTCACGCTGGTTGACGTCGAGAGATGGCGAGTATGGGCAGAGTTGCGCTGTTACGCTGACCAGCGACAGACGAGGGGGGCCCATTCCAGTCAGCCTTGGCCCTCTACCGGTACGCATACCCATCATATGGTAGGATTTGCGCCTCACTGGCTTTCCCCGCGATATACCGGCTAGTAGGAATGATGCAATCTTAGCGACTGTAACTCGAAGCAGCTGCGAATGATAGGCACATACTATGAGCTGTATGTAGCCTGTGAACGATCTATCAATTAAACCCGCAGCACATGCGTTATCCATAATCCAAGACGCGATGGCGAGTTCGTCGCAATGCAAACGGGTCCATGTGAGTCGGAGCCCACGGCTTCTTTGCTTTCCGCCTAACACGAAGAACCCAGAACATGGCCCGGTATCAATCACAATGCGGCCAATCCAAAAAATGAAAAAAAAACTGACAGAACCAAGAGAATTCGTCCAGTTCCCGCTTCTAAGCTGAGGAACGCGTGCCGAGGGGCTACTATACTTGGAGAGATGGGTGGCACAAAGCAGGCTATAACTATCCCTTCGTCCTCCTTCGACGCAGTCTTTCTTCCAACTTGAACCTCTGAGTACCTTTTGCTCTTTGGTTCAACCGTCCTTGGTCCCCTTCCCAGCTCAGAAGGTTTCAACGCTCACGCTCAGCCATGGTATGCACAACGGGTATAACGACGATCTAGTGCTAACGAATCTCTAGTCTCTCCTTACTCTCACCCTCTTTTTGACCTCCCTCTGCACCTCCCTCGTCGGAGCAGCCCCCACCGACGCCAACATTTTGCTCGCCAAGAAATACGCCCCCCAATTCCGATTCCAAAAGGACGAAGTCTACTTTCCCTCCACCGTCGATTTTTTCCTCTCCGGACCCCTCACTCTCAAAGACGGCAATGGCAATGGCATCAACGGCGCACCCTCGCCTCTCACCGCCAAGAACCTCGCAAACGCAGCTCCCAATTCAGGCTCTGGTACATTCCTATCCACCGACGTAAATGCAAATACGGGTGGTTTCTTGCGCGGCCAAAACCCAACCAATAGCCAACCCACCACCTACACTTTTATCGCACCAAAGGCCAAC